GCGCCAACATGATGGCTGGCGGCACTTCAGGTAGCTTTCCTCTGGGCGGAGCCCTCCCAGGCCCTCTCCGGGAATGGCTGGGAGACGCCCGGTTTCCCCGGGAGAGGCAGGGCCGGGAGCTGAGGGCGGGGCCTGGAGAAGAGAAAACGCATGGCCCCTGAGTGCCCGGGGACTCCGGTCTGCGGGGCAGATGCTATGAAAGGCCCCATTTCACAGAGGAAAGGGACAGGGTCGCAGCCCAAGACTCTGGCCCCCGGCCCAAGTCCGCCCCTGCCCACGCGCGCTCCCAGGCTGTGTGGCGGCCCTTGAGCCCAGGGCACGACAGCCCCACGGACCCTTCCGTCTGCTCCTGCCTGCGAGGCCTCCTCCTGGCCCCCAGCTCGGAAGGTTCCCTGGAAATCTCCTGTCCGCGTGTGGGGCTCAGTCCCGCCTGGAAGGCAGAGGGCTCAGGGCCTTCAGGAAGGGCGCCGGCCTGGAGCCCGGAGCACCTCTGGGCCTGTTTGCTCCGTCAGTGACGGGCATTGTGCTCGTGCCGCTGGGGAACCCAAGGAGAGGCGTGCCCCCCGCCCCACCCCCACCCCCCGAGGTTTCGGAGCCACAGCACTTGCAGAGGCTGGAGGTCAGGGCCCCAGGCCTGTGCGCTGCGACGCCTCTGCAGGCCCAGCTCCGGGAGCGGCCGGGGGAAGCGAAGCAGCTGACGGTGGTCAGGGCACCTGCCTGCACTGAGGGCTGCTCAGCTCACCGGCCGGCGGTGGAGCTTTACACGTGGGAACAATTGAGTCCTCGGGCCAGCGTTAGGGGAGGGCCCTGCTAGCCTCACCCACACTGAGGACCCGGGCTCTGGCCCAGCTGGGAAGCAGCAGCGCTGGGTGCCCAGCCCAGGCTCCGGCCCAGGTACGAGGCTGCGAGAGGGGGCTCAGAGGCGGACAGAGCACGGTTTGTGGCTGTTTTCTTGGGGGCACTGCACTCCCTTCTCCCTGGCACCCCACTGTCTATGCCAAGGGCACTTGAAATGTCACGGGAGCAGGAGGGGGGGGGGGCGTCCTCAGACATCCCTGCTCACGTGTGATTATGGCCTAAACAGCCCCTGTTCACGAGGAAACTTGACCGAAGCGGGGCTCTCGGCTCCGGTGGAGGCGGGTGTGGTTTCCACTCGGCGATGATAAAGGAGCTTTGCTTCGGGGCTCCCGTGCGGACTGCACCCCGGCCCAGGGCAGGGCCCTCCAGCACTTGCCCCCTGTGCAGCAAGGGGCTGCGGGGCCGCTGGGGGCCGTGGGGAGCGAGGCAGAGCCCTCTCAGCCCCTCCTGTCTTGCAGCTACTTCTCGGCAACACACAGACCGACCGGTCTCCTCGCAGGGGCGCCTCTCCCAGCCGAATGTGGGCCACCCGCCCAGCCCCAGCGGGATGGCGATGCACATGGACATGCCCCCCGGGGAGGGCATGGAGGAGCCCACCCGGGGGCCCAGGACCCCCTCTGCTCACTGAGCAGAGCTATAAATAAATGTTTCGGAAGAAGCTGGCTTCCCTGTCCTGGCTCGGAAGGTGCAGGCAGAGGGAGGGTCCCGGGGGCCAGGTGCCTCCAGACGGCTCCCCGGCCCAGGCGGCAGATCTCTGGGAGAGGGCATCTGGCTTGTAGCGTGAGAATCAGGTCAGTGCCCCCAGACGGAGCCATCCTCCGAGGGAGCGGGCGGAACAGCTCTCCCCTGACCAGGGCTGGACGGGCCGCTGCCGTCCCTGCCATGGCCCTGCCTTCCTGTCGGACGCGCGGTGTCGGGGAGCAAGTTGTACCTTGGAGCAAAGGTGAGGGTGGCAGCTGCCCGCTGCGCTCCTGCCGCGGGCTCAGGGCAGTGCCCAGCTCCTGGCGCAGAGCCCGGGAGCACTGCCACCAGCCACCTGGCAAGGTTTCTGTTTGAGGTGCTCAGCTTACCCCGCGGGGGCAGGAGCCTCAGAGCAGGGGCTGCCCGGCCTGGGCCGTTCTCTTCCCTTCTCCTCCCAACCCCGAAAGAGAGAAAAGGGGGTCCCGGAGGCCCCCCTCCTGCCCCCGCCCTTGAAGCTCCCTTGCTCTTGTCCCCTTGCCCCAACAGGCAAGAGGGCTCGGTGCTGGGTCCTTGAGCTGAAGATCCGGGCAGGTGGGGGGACAGGAGCAGGCGTGCGCTTGGTGCAGCAACTACACAGGACCGGCCCCGTCCCCTCACCCCAGGGACAAGGCAGAGCTGTCCCCCCAAGGACTCTCAAGTCACTGCAGCAGTTCTGTGCCTCAGGTCTGTTCTCATTGGCTCCCTCCTCAAAGGTGGGAATCCCCCACCCCCAGTCCCTCTCCCACCCCCCATGGGAAAGCAACCTGGGGCCAGAGGCCTGCTTTAGGGTGTGAGGGGAGGGGTGACAGCCTCACAGGAAAGTGTGGCAGGAAACAGCCCAGAAAAGGGTTTCTCCCCAGTCCCCACCCCTGTGGGCAGGGAGGGCGGGGCTGCGAGGTGTCACGGGAAAGGCAGGTGCTCCCCCTCCCCCCAGGGGCTCCCCCTCCATCCCCGTCTGCGGGGGACGCCATTCATCTCTAATGAGGGACACTCAGGCTGATGGGGGAGGGGCAGTCCGGTGGGCACCCCCCCCCAGCACCCTGCCCCCACAGGCAGGTGAGCCAGGCCAGCCCCCGCTCCTGCCGGGCTCCTGTTTCTCTCGCCCTCGCCCTCACCCTCGCTGAGAAACGCAGGTCCCTGGCTTAGAATCCACTCGCCAGCCTGGGAGGGAGGGGCAGCCGCAGGGACAGGCAGCCTCAGCGCCAGGCCTCCCCCGCCCCCCACAGGACAAGGGTGACACTCCCCAGGCGGCCAGGCCGGCCACGTGGGGGCGGAAGTCCCAGCAGGACCACCCCAGGCGCAGGGGCTGTCCCCCCAGCCTGGAAAGCACAGGTGGGCAGCTGCAGGGGTGCCTGTGGGAGGAGCCTCAGGGGTTTCCAACCAGGAAACAAAACTGAAAGGACAAACCCAGCCTCAAAGGACAGGATCACACGGGGGCGCAGGGGCAGCTGCACCGGCTCCCCTCCCACAGGTGCAGCCCCACAGCGGCCCGAGCGGGTGGCCCACGGTGGGGCCAGGGGCTCGAGGAGGGATCCGGCCCTGGGCCAGCCCCGGCACAGGGAACAGGCTCCTCACCCACCAGCTGCTGCCCCGCTGGTCCTGCCCCGCATGGTCCCTTCTGAGCCCGCCCGGCGCTGGGCTCCCCCGCAGCCCTGGCTGACCTTTGGCCCCGCCACATAACACGCTCACAAGGACCCGCTACCCCCGAGGAAGGAGGCCAAGGGCAGCGACGGCCGGGCAGAGGTGGGCCCAGTAGGAAGGGGCTGGGCGGCCACCAGGTGGAAGGAGCAGCCCCACACTGTAGCGGAGACCATGGCTGCGGCCGAGCCCGGCCTGTGATGGGCGACGGAGGAAGGTCAAGGAGCGAGATCACAGTAACCAAGTCATGACCCGTCCTTCCCCCCCACATTCAACTGGACCAGCCTGTCCATCAGGCCCTGGTCTGGACCCCCAGCCCCGTGCCCAGGGCGCAGCCCCCGCTCCCCCAAGGAGCGCCTTCCCTCCAGGACAGACAAAGATCCTGGGAAGTCAGAAAAGCCTTTAAGTTTTACACGTGAACTTCACCTGGTGAAATGATGGACTTGGGAACCGAACCCAAAGGCAGGCGCTCCTCCCGGCACCCACTTGGCCAGGACAGGGTGCGAGAGGCAGGCCCCGAGCGAGCGAGGCCGAGGCTGGGCCCTGGCCCTGATGGCTCTTCAGTGCCAGCCTCCACCTGGGGGTGGCGATGTCTCGTGATGGCAGGAGGCCCCCTCACCTTGGGCTGCCAGGCGCCTCCGGTGGCCCTCTTCCGCCCAATTCCAGAAGCATGACCATGACTTTGAGAGCAGGCAGCTGGCAGACACCGTGTGCCCGCACATCACACACCTGGCCGTGCAGCACCTGCCCTGGACTGGAGGAGGGGGTGCTGGCCCCTCCCTCTGACCCCAGTAGCCCAGACCAGCCAGCACCATTCACATAGTTAGTCATATTTATATATTTATATATTACAGTTATATATTAAAAACAGAAAAAACTTGCCTGAAGAGAAACTCCTGAAGGACCCAAGTGGCTCAGGAAGTTTGCTATTCCCCCCACCCCCCAAAATTCCTTTATAAAATCTTCCA